AAAAGAAAGAAAAGGAAAAGAAAGAAAAGGAAAAGAAAGAAAAGGAAAAGAAAAAACGTCAAAAAATGCCTAAAGGATGTAGGATTGCAGGTATAAAGAACAGAGAAGAGATAATGAGGGATACATAATGCCCATTTCATTTTGTCAAAATAAAATTCATTAAAGAGTTAATAAAACCTAGTACCTACCTCTATAACTATTGTTAAATAAATTTTATTTATTTACTTAGAACCAAAAACATATACATATCTAAATAGACGCAGCAAGGTATCTATACATTGCGTGGCCAATGTAATATAAAAACGCTTAGTTGCCGCTGCTACACTTCATATTGTGGTAGGGCCTTCAGTTCGCCTTTTTCATCCGGTGGCGCAGTCAAGGCCATCAGCGGCCGACTTGTGTCAACCGGTGTCCTTCAGAAAAAAAAGCTACGCTTCAGAACACGTCCGGCCGTTATCTTAAACATCAGTCGAAAACGCGAAAAATGCCTAAATTATGTGCCATTAGAAACTGCAAAAACACGACAGCTATGAGTAGATGAATAAACAGGGATGTTTTCCTTGTAGAATAAGCATAATATAAATTAAAATTAATTATTTTGATTTTGTGTAAATTCGAGAAAAAAAATATACGAACGAGTGTATGCCGTATGATTTAAAATTCAAGACAAAAACATTTATTTCAGATAAAAATCCATACAGTATTAATAAACAAAATATGTAACTTATGATCTAGTATTAGTATTAATATTGTTTAATTTACCGATCTGTGAACACACACAGGATTAGAGATGAGAAAACTGGTTCTTTTTACAAACGTTTAAACGTTACAGCTCTTTTTAAAAAAACGTGCTTTTTTAGACGCTTTTCACAAATACTTTTTAGTTTGAAGCTTAAAAAATCTTTTAGAAAAACTACTTTTATGTTTAAAAAAGCTTACAACGTTGTGTTGATTGATAGCGAGAAGCAAGAGTAGACTACTAAAGGTTTTAAGTTAAATAAGTTTATTTGTAAAACGCGAATTTTATTTTTATTTATAAATTTACTATTCACATTAACGAATTAATTTATTTAGGAAACATAAATGGCGGGTCTTGAAACGTTGTAAAAAACTGATATTGTTAAGTGTAGAACTGACCAACGCTTACACTTAAAATAAAAAGCGTGCTTATGTGCTTATTTTAAAAAGCAAACTTTTTAAAGTGCTTTTCGTTTAAACGCCCACCTCTACCCAGGATGCTGTTGGAACCCTCGGGGAAGCGCCTCAGCGCAGATGCACACGTTTTTCTCACGATGATGGCCATGAAACCATCCGTGTGAGCCTCGGCACACATCCCCGACGCACTACACCTCCACGACAGCCCCTCAGTGATGGGGCACCCTGAATGCATTATTATGTTGGACACGTAGGTCACTGAATGTCTGCCTGACTGGCAATACACGTCCGATTTTACCACAATGTCCGATTTTAAAATTAGCGCCGAGGCGTTTACCATTTTGTTGTCGGTTCGATTGTCGCCAACGTTTTTTCTTCTTTCGCGGCAAAACGAGCGAATAGACGGATCACACTACCAGATCCGACTATAGTATGGTAAAATCGGACGTGTATTGCTAGGTTTAGAATTCGAAACACGGCCCTATGTTAAAACTAAAGTCTGCATGAAATATTGTCATAGAAACAGGGAAACGGAACATACTCAAATATTAAAGAGTAAACAACTATAACAAATAAACTCCAGACACATGGGACTTGTCAATTTTGTCTCAGGGTGACGGGCGCAGTGGTAGTGTTCCTCGGATCTTTGTGATTTGAATCTGAGTGGCACTCACTGCACGTGCTATTCGTTCAAACAACCATAAACACAACAATAAACACGTCTACCTGTAATGTTATTTTTGAAATACCAAACGAACCATTGTCCCAGATTTGATTGAACCAGAAATAGAGACGAAATGTCATTTAATTTGTTTGAAAACTATTCTGCCATATCATTAAGGACTATCCACACATATCCGGGCCGTGCCCGGGATGTGGACGGGGCGTGCTAGTTTGTATGAACTGCGGGCCCGTACACGGACATGTGAGAACGAGTTCATACAAAATCTACACATTGATATTTTTTTGCGCCCCTGACGGAGCACGGCTCGTCCACGTCCCGGCCACGGCCCGGATATGTGTAGACAGACCTTTACTGTGACAACTGCGCTCCGATTGGCTAGCCCGAGTTCGAAACAATTGACGGGTGTCGTCAACTGTTCATTTCAAATCGACCAGTTAACTTGATCTTTATTCATCAATGATGATCAAAATTACATATTTATTATTTAATTACCGATGAAATGTGCTTCCGTTTGTTTTGTAATTAGATGTTTTGCTGTTTTTCCCACACCACCGAATAGAACAGCACGACATTGTTAGAGATATTATCTTTATTACAATAAATACAGAATATTTTTTGGAATATACGGAGACGTACACACAGGTCAGTAGTTGGCCTGTCTATATTTCAATGCAAACGAGAGTTATAAGAGCTAAGAAGAGCTGTATCGCTAATGTGTTACCAGGAATATATGGCCCTTATTTCGTCTCTATTTCTGGTTATATACTCGATGACACGAGTGCACCTCAGTAAGGCGCGCGCTGCGAGTGTGCACACATACAAGACGCGTTGCTACATTTGTGTGGAGTCATTTTTTCCATCCTCTATGGGAGTCACCACACTTTTTTTTAACGAAGTAGCGTAAGAATACTGTGAGCCTACGTCAAAATAAAAGGTTAGGAAACGGACGGAGAAAAACAAAAAAGGTGGAGAGCTAAGTTTGGAAGGAATTATTATAATGTCATAGAGTATACCGTAGTTTAATACCAAGGCCCACATTTTAAAAATAAAGGAAAGATAATAAAAAATAATAGTCTTGAAATCAGATGGGTTTCTGAGCGAGAAGATGAACCTGATTCCTACTATATCTTTCTAATTTCTAAGTTAAATCAACTATTGTTCCGGTAAGAAATGTCAAAAGTTTCCGATAGGCCTGTTGTGAATCGCAATTTTATGCGCCTCGACTCGGAAAAGACGCAGTTTCCGATCGGGAGGGGCAATCAAAATCAAGCTGCCAGTAGCTGGCAACAACCGCCAGTTCGGCGAGTCGATGTCTCCACATCGCTCAAAACGTAGGATTGTCTCTCACATTGTTATTTTATTTGTATTTACAGGTTCCAAATGTTAGGAAGTTCCAGAAATAAAATTCCAACTCCTTGTTTCTTCGTTATACACTTATATGAAGACTTATTACGATTATACACTTAGCACCATTGACTTACAAATAAATGGACGACGGATCTCATACAAAAACCACGAAAAAAATGTCCCAAGTCAACCTATTTAAACATAGTGACATGTAAAGGAATATGAAAAAGCTAAAACGTTGAATTTAAACTGTAATGTCATCGCAGTACTGTCTAATTTTGCTTGCTTCGCTGTCAGTCGAACAAACGAAGACTAAAGCGTGAATGACGCTCTATATACGATTTTAACGCCCTATAAGTTCGGACACTTTTTAGCGCGGACCCGACGTCCTTATAATAGTAAGTAATAATAGTAAAGTAATAGTAAGTCAATGCTTAGCACGATAAAATGACACGGTAAAGTAAAATGAGAGGCACTGTCCTCTGAGACTCCAACAAACAGAACAGGTAACTGTAGACAAGTAGAAAAACAGAATGTCGAGCACTCGAGTCTCGAGTATCACAAATTAAGAAACGTTAGCAGTATGGTGGTAGGGCTGCATTTTTGGCGCCACCAACATAGTGTATTGTGGCGCCATGTAAAGCTAAAGTTACTGGCGCTACCAACCTAACAATGTAGCAACGGAAACAATTTTCACAGACAAATTGGTCATGAGTACCAAATATACTCTTTAATACAAATAGTACTCTAATATTACAAAAATATAATTACAATAAGACAAAATTATTTATATATCCAATATGACGCTTACACAAAACATAGTTTTAAAAAACAAGGTACCTCTTCATCATATTCTTGTGCTACATTGAAATAACCTTTGTTAAATACAGTACTTACAAATTGGTATTTTTATACTCGCTCGCTGTCTAATAAATAAATAAATAACGCACACAATCACTGCCCCGCACTAGGGAAACCCTGTAACGTGAGTGCCATGGACACACACATAGCCAACCACACCAATTACACCCAACTCAAGAGAGAAATAAGTGTAGACCATATAAATATTTCCAACGGCCCGGGAATCGAACCCAGGACCTCCGTGTAGCTGTACAACGTGTAACCGCTCGACCACGTAGGCTTATTTTATAGATTTTTTATTAAGATTTAGGAATTAGAAATGAAATGCTGAACAATTCTGAATTATGACTTGAAACCTCCAAATATTCAAAAATGGTAAATAGTACAGTATTCGATCTCGTTTAGTAGCAGTAGAGCTCCTTGTGGAAGAGTTCGTCCAGGAAAATACGACCACCTTACCTATTTCTGCCGCTAAGCAGTAAAGTGACCATTACTGTTTTCCGGTTTTGAAGGGCCTTACCCTTGCTGGTGAAATTACAAGCACATGGAACTTGTCAACTTATGTCTCAGGGTAACTGGCGCTCTGTGGCAGTGCCCCTCAGATCTTTGCGATTTAAACCTCTGAGTGGCACTGCAATCATGATGGACAGGCGTGTAGTTTACAACAGGTGCACGACTTGTTCGTCCCGTCACTTGATAGCATAAAAAATCTCGATCTGGCGCACGAGAACAACATTCTGAAGATATCTGACTTGTATGTATAGTGCACAGACCATATAAATTCTTCCGTGGTACAGTGTTTCCGTAATCTTTTATAATGATAGTTTGATTACTCTTCGGGAGATTTTATTTGCTTGATTAATAATAATGGTAAATTGTATATTTTGATAGATTGATGATTTGTATGAGTGCACTGCGTGCGCTATGATTGACTGTGAACTGATATTAATTACAACTAGGAGGTGTACAGTGCTGATGGATCATTGACAGTCGTAGATTGTACATTGATCGCTTTTTCACTCTTCCTCCACCTTCCTAATCCCGTTTCCATTTATTTCACTACTGTTTATTGTCCCTATTTTAAGAACAAGTCAAAACACTTTGTAAATGGCTGAAACACAAACCGCGAAAAGCCAAGAAAGAAAAGGATGGAAAAAATCACACTAAAACAATTTGGATAGATAATATAGTTACGTCACTAAACGTCAAATTCATCATGGTCAAAGTAGGGTTGGGCAAACAAAGAGTATCGACATGAGAAATGTATCGATTTTTTTCTTAAGGCCAGTAAATAAATACCAATAAATATTCCCAAAATACATCTATTAAAAGTCGATACTACCTCAGCTCGAATTCAAATTTTTCTCGTACTAATACGATTCATTTTGCACAGGTCAAGCGGCAGGGACACTGACTTTATTTCAGAATATTTTTTTTTATAAACAAAATTGTAGCCAGTTGATAAATGTATATCGAATACTACACGTGTTCTATTTATTTCAGTTGTTATTAAAAATAATTAGTATATTTATTATTATGTAAAGTACCTATTGAATATAGCAGTTTCCTTGTAAAATTTCGAGATTAGTTTGTTTTCTTTTCTATTGTGAAAATTTTTAGGGATCTTGATTTCACACTGTATACTAATCAGTATACAGTGTCCTCAAATATATCCTCAAATTTTACTATACCTACTTATATTTTTTCCAAGGTGATTGATTCAACACTGTCACTGTTATGTGGAATCAACCATTTCAGGTAGTATAAACTCTTTAAGTAAATTTACAAAGTAAAATTCGAAATAGTAGACACGTGTTGAAGTTATAAAAAAAATTGTAGAAGAAAGGCCAGGTAAAAATTATAGTCGTGGCTGTCTGCTGTATGATGTGGAAGGAAAGGAGTTAACCTTCATGTTAAGTGGGTTATGTTATAAGGCTCCGCTAAGACTAAATATAAATATGTTAGCAAAAGATTTGGTGTTAACATACAATACCTACCTATTAGTTTTATTCCACAAAGCGACGTTCGACAATCTACACGTTGGTATTTTTTAAATATAGATACTTATAGGACTTACTATTGCTCTAATAAAGAATATTGAAATTGATATTCGGAAAAAATCCATTTTTGATCAATTATCAATGACATGATGAAAAATATCGGCGATATATACCGTTGAAAAATATCGATACTTTGATATATCGATAATTGTAAGGTGTAATAATTGTGTATCGATAATTTTGTCAAGCCTAGCTTCAAGATCAAGAAAATGAGATTCGCTCTGGACATACGTATACGTAGTATCTCTTATTAGTTTGTGGCTCTGGACATTTTGGAAGGAAAAGTGTCGTTTTTATTTTGACTTTCAATTATTTTGTGAATTCTAGTTTAAAGTGTAATAGGATAGTGCTATTGTGCCTTAATCGAAGATCAAAACGCGAAATTATACGAATCTCGAACTAAAATACCCGTATCGGCCCGTTTTAAGGAATCCCGAGTCAATCTAAGCAGGCCACCTCAAATTACCTATCCTCTTTGTGGCGGCCATATTTACAGAAACATAATTAAACTTTATGTTTAGACTGATGGCTTTGCCAAAGCCTTAATAAATAAAAAAAAAAACAAGAAAATGACGCGAATACTACTGTAAATACTGTCTCATTATTCATTTTATTGAAGGTGATATTAAAATTATTTGTTTACTGTTTTCAATGCAAAACAATTTGCAAATTTTTGTAAACATTGTAATCCGATACATTTTGATAATTTCGTTGGTACTCCACACACTATGTCGAAAATGACAAAAAGGAAACATGTGATGAAGGAGGCCATTTGGGATGACTACGAACTGCCGAAAGAGAATCAAAGCATTGTGAAAGTTGTAAGGAGTAGAGGAAACAATTTACATGAGGTATTTTCCGCGTACTAAAGTCGTTAGAACACTACTAATAGCACAATTATTATAGTACATTTCATAACCTCTGGCTAGGCACGGGGTTATATTTGTAATATTCTAACAACCTTGTAGGACTATTATCATTAATATCATAAATAACAACTTATGTTTGTGTATTATTACTATTATATAATTATTATTAAGATTTTAGTGTACGTCAGAATGGCTGGACCAACGAGATATACAAATCAAACTGTGCTCATTATTTACTACCAGTTTTCTACTATTTAGTACCTTTATTGACATAGTTTCTACCTTTGCGCTAATGGAAATATTAAAGAAATAAAGTGGCCACCCATTCTGATGTCAGGTGGCTGGACCACTTTACATTTTTCATGGTTGTTCTACTATGTTCTACTTGGTGTAACGGGTTAGTGTCCGCAACTCGACGTCAAGGCGCCTATTTTGCGTGTGGAAATTCTCTGGTTTCCCTTCAAAACGCATAAATCTTTCGCCTTTTTTCATGGTTCTATAAAAATAGTAAATTATATACTGCTAGAACCATGAAAAACAAAGTGGTCCAGCCAACCTGACATCAGAATGGCTGGCCACTTTATTCCTTTAATATTTCCGTTAGCACAAAGGTAGAAAATATGTTGATAAAGGTACTAAATAGAAACTATGTAGTAAATAATGAGCACAGTTTTATTTGTATATCTCGTTTGATCCAGTCATCCTAATGGACACAGATTTAAAGAGCCGTTTGTTTGATCCAAAAAACATACTTAGATCGCCATTTTTGCTTAGTTGAAGTCATCGAGTATGTAACCAGAAATAGAGACAAAATTTTTTTTAAACTTAATTTGTTTGAAAACTATTCTCTCTTATCATTACTGTGACAACTGCGCTCCGATTGGCTAACCAGAGTTCGAAACAATTGACGGGTGTTGTCAATGAGTGCTGTCAACTGTTTCACTTCAAATCGACCAGTTAACTTGAGCTTTGCTATAATAAACGAAAATTGCAAAATTACATATTTAATATCTAATTACCAATGAAATGTGATTCTATTTGTTTTGTAATTAGAGACGTACACACAGGTCAGTAGTTGGCCTGTCTATATTTCAGTGCAAATGAGAGTTGATATTTTCATACCAGTGTTGCCAGCTAGACTAAAGCACATGTCGCTACACAGAAGGCTTAAAGTCACTAGTTGTCACCATGTTTCCACTCCATATGAAAAATCTACTCTTATGGTACTCATTATAAGAATCATTTCATTGGTAAGAACTTTATGATAATAGCACATATAAAAGACCAGGCGCTTACATTACTACTTCACTTTTGATTCTACTGCCCCTCCGTATCAACCTCTTCGTTATATGCGAAGTTACAGTGCTATAACCTGTACAAGCTAGCCCGCACAGGGAGCTTATAAGTTCAGTTCATGCACCCAGATCAGGCAGTGGACAGGGTTGTGACGGACTTCATGCAGTGTTCAAAAGGCTAGTGTCTTGAGTGAGCGATCACTGTACATGTACAGTAACCTCCTTATTCCTATATCTATATCCAGAGCGTCAAAGTTGCTCCGTTTGCAACACTGTTTCATACAATATTTAAGCGTAATTGCAGTGCCACTGTCGATGTGCTACGTGCGTGCCACCTTTGCAGTCACAATTAGTGAATTAAAAATTACTGAAGCACTACAGGGTGACTGCAGCTCGTTTACAAGCACCTAATTTGTAAGCACCCTAATAAACCTGACATCTGTGTTATATAATTAAAGATAAATGTAAAATAATTTTCCAGGTTGTCACAGCAACAAATGAAGAATACTTAGTATCAATGCCAACAAAATTCAGAAAAAATATTTGGGTGAAAAGAGGCGATTACATTCTAGTTGAACCTATAGCAGAAGGAGACAAAATCAAAGCGGAAATAGTGAAAATAATGACCAAGGACTCTATAAAATACTGTAAAGAAAATAATGTATGGCCTAATGTATTTATGAATAGTGACATTGATAGTGATGCAAAGGAGACGAACAGTGATGTGTTTGAAAATACAAATAGGGTTCCTTTAAACGTAATGGAAGACAGTGAATCTAGTAGTAGTGGCAGTGAAAGTGGAAATGAAAGTGATACAGAACAAAGCGATGATGATTTAAGAGGGAATAAAAAATGATAAATATACCATTAGGTTTCTTATTTTAAACCCATTTATGGACAGTTACGCAAAATTAAATATCAGATGTGATGTGATAGTATGCGAAACAGCATTTCGCTATATTAATCACTAAAAACCAACTATGGGCTTTACAGTGTGAATTCCAAGTGCTTTCTGTGTAGTTGCCCCATACTGCTCCTTCATCTTGGTACTTGGTGTAACGGGCTGGTGTCCGCAACTCGACGTCAAGGCGCCTATTTTGCGTGTGGTGGGTGCCGGGTCCTACTCGTGCGACCCAAGCTTCTCCAGGAATCTCAGCAGCCTCCTCGGTTTGCTGAAGACTTCGGGGAGCGACCTTGGCACTCCAAGGTACTTTGCCCTGTAGTTGGCCACGCCGGAGCACTATTGTGGGATGTGCGCAGTCGTTTCCTCCCCCTCCACGCACGCTCTGCATAGAGGGCTGTCTGCGATACCTAAATTGAAAAGGTGTTTATTGTATGTACCATGACCTGTTAGGGCGGCAGTTAGAGTGCGAAGCTCTTGCCTGTTGAGTTTAATTAATATTCGTGATAGACTGGCATTGAGCGTTGGGAGTGCTTCTCTCGCCTGTCTACAAACCGTAAGGGTGGTCCATGTATTATTATTATTATTATCATTACTGCTCCTTCATATAGAAGTATCAACAATGTAGGTACTAACAAAATACAATGATTTACATTCAACATTTTATACTGATACCGGTTTATATTATAAGTTTTATTAGTCTTTTGTTATTATTAAGGTGGTTCACAACCCGCAACAAAATGTATCATTGAAAAGTCTCAATAATACATTTTGTTGCGGGTGATGAAATGAAATTGTGTCATTTATGAGGCATACATAACGAGAGCGGAATTACTTGCAATAGTGGAAACATTATGCTTTGTTAGTTATGTCGATGCAAACAAATTCTTCTCACTGACTCTTGAAAGTGCACTTCAACACTCGTGGTTCAATGTGTCTTGGGAGGTCGAGGTATTCCAATAGCATATGAAGCTTTAAAAATGAATAACTAACCTATTGTACAATAATATTATCATAAGACTTCAATGGATACCATCCGTAGACGTTGCTAGCTCCCTGGAACGCTTAAAAAAGATACTGACCCGCGGCACCCTTACACCATCACGTGCCGGTAATCCAGAGGTATACCCTCTGGTCGAGGAAACTAAGCACGCCCGAATAAGTTTCTGGAAGGAGAAATACCCCACGGCGTCACTTATCCCGCTATCGGAACACCTCCCTCCTGGGCATGATCTACCTTGGCAAACTTGGAAGACCCTAAATAGGCTGCGGACGCAAATCGGCCGAAGCAAGGAGCGCATGTCCGTGTGGTGTCTCTCCCCAGACAATGGCACATCTTTTAACCTGCCCTGCGTGTCCCTACACGTGCACACGCGAGGACCTGTACAGCGCCACTGATAATGCTATCTCAGTCGCTAAGTACAGGTCCTCACATAGATAAACGTTAGAGTCGACACGCCAAGAAGAAGAAGAAGAATGGATAACATCACATATCGAACTCTAGGAAACGAGATAGTAGACAGACTAGCAAACGAGGCTATTTCCGACGGAACCATCAGGTACACCATTTGCCACAGAAATTATTCGGTTTATAAGGGACTTAAATATGGATCAATGGACTAAGAGCTATGATGATCTGTGACAAAAGGTATAAATATATATATGGTACAAAACTATCCAACTGCGTCCTCCAAGGTCACTAAATTTTACTATCTGACGAGAAGGACTGAATCCCCTCAATGCCATTTCTGTAACAAATTGGAAGACATGCTTAATTTCAAACTGGGCAACCCGTTGACGCAGAGTGTTGAAGGTCTATACTCCAATGTGTGATCTTGCTTTGTGATAAGGAGCAATGCAATACCTCTCATGGGAGTAGCGACAGATAACGCACACACTCAACATAGTCCCGCACTAGGGAAACCCTGGGTCGCAGGTGCCTTGGACACACACATAGACAACCACAAATTACACCCAAACTCACGAGAGAAATAAATGTAGGCCATACAAATATTTCTTCCGGCCCGGGAATCGAACCTGGGACCTCTGCGTGGCAGTCTGGCATGGTAACCGTTCGGCCACGGAGTTTAAGTTTAGGTCTGATAAAGCAGGATGGATAGATACTTACATTACGAGGCCGACATACGCCCGAACGTTTCAGACGTTTTCAAAATAGATTTAAAAAATATATATATTAGGGTGGTTTAGTAATAGCCTACCAGGTACCTTTTTTTGCGTGGGGAAATCCTCCTAGGGTACCTCTAGGTTAACCGGCCAAACCCCACGGTGGCCATCTCGGGTGCTCTAGTGGGAAGGACCCCGGATCCACTTTGCGCACCGCGATTCACAACTGGCCGATCGGAAACTTTTAACATTTCAAATCGAAACAATAGTTGATTTAACTCACAAATTAGAAAGATATAGTAGGAATCAGGAAACCATCTGATTTCGAGACTACTCGATCGGTTCGATTCCTATTTGAATCAAAATCAGAATGGTGGTAAGCCTAAGCTAAGCCAAGCCGACCAGGGTCTACTCTCGATCTCCGTCCGAAACAATTACAGCCAAATAAGCAATACTTGACCAAATGAAAAGACGCGTGATGCGATTGAAGCTTCATACTTGATATTTGTCTTTTAATTTTGTCGAATATTACTTATTTGACAGTAATTGTTTCGGACGGAGATCGAGAATAGACCCCCAGGGCCCTGGTTTTAATTTAATCGGAATCGACCCGATCGGGTAGCCCATCCGCAATATTATACGCACTCGGAAAAGACGCATTTTCCGTTCGGGTGAGGTAATCAAAATCAAGCTGCAGCGATGCAATCACCGGTTAATGCATTGTGATCACCACTAATTACAATTCAGAGCCAAGATATGCAGCATTTAAGAAGTAACGGATTTTCTTCTATGGAATGAATATTTCCTGGTTGTAGAATGCGCCTGCTTTGGTAAGCAAGTGCAATTATTCACATACTATTCACGGCAGAATCTACAGACCCTTCTCTCGCTTAGCTTGACATTGTACATGCTAAGGTCATTCCGTTCAAATGCCAGAGCTGGGGCCTTACCATGAACTCTTATTACGATTCAGTTTAGGACCAAAAATGAATAGTTGTGAGACAGCGCTACATGAAGTGTATATCACTATCCCGCTTTTTTGTCGTTGAACCTATACTGAACTGTAATAAGAATTCATTGTAAGTCCCTGGTCTGTAATGTCCCGTGCAAACGTATTTTGAAGCAACTGGCTTGTATCCAACACAAGACACAACTTTGCGCTGCGCCTAAATCAAATAATCGTTTGCAGTACAGGAAACGTGTCACATGGAGCGAACTATGACTTACTTATTTCAGAATTCTTTTCTTTTACTCTAATTCGTAAAAAAAATTTTGCAATGTAAACACATTTTTTTCTGAGTGTTCGATCTTTGTATTAATAATTATAAGAAACTAGTGGAGTAGTTTCATAAATAATAATTGAATATCAATTCAATAAAAATGTAACATACAGTGAATAGCGTCATCCCTCGCCAGGGCCGGTAGCTGTAAAGGTATCTAAGTGGGTGATAAAACTTTCATATATTTCTCATAGATGGCGCTACGACTAAAAAGCCGTTGAAAAACCAAATACAAAGACACGACAACAAGCACATAGAAAAGTTCGTGAGGTCCGCTGGTACGTTTTGTGGCTTAGTTGGTATGGCGTCTGGCACGATATGCTAGAAGACGTCGCAGTATGGGAAATTTAGGTCAATTACGGACCAAAAATCTGTAACTGTTTTGTTTTTCGAAATACATCTTTGATTTTTTTATTATACATAGTGGAAATTACGACGCTTTTAAACGCATATACATTTTTATTTAACTACCCGTAACTGAGAGTTAAAAAAATGTGCAAAAATCATAAATCTCCCCCTGGTAAATAATTATTTAATATCTACTTTAAAAATAAAATAAATCCAATATTTACTTTAAAAAAATGGAAATGCCATGTTACGGTAATTTTTTATTCATAATATAAATTAAATGTAATTATGTTTACTTAAAATTATATTAAAAAAAAATACGATACAAGAAAAAACATGAAAGCATATTTGTTATTATTTCGGATATCTGTTTTAGACTCTAGCCTCTCTCTTCTATCATGGCCTATTATTACTGATTTTTTCAGAATCAGTGACAAGTTGATGGACTTTCAATAGACGTAGCGTCTCCTCGTCAAGCTCCTGTCGATTTTTAACATAAGCTTTTCGGTAACTGGTTATAAATGGATCAGAAGTACAAAGTAACGTGTGAAATACATCTTCATTTGTTGCAGATCTAGAGCACTTTCTTGCGTGGTGTAATCTAAATTTTTTGTAGTCCTTATTACGAGATTCTTGAGCGTCTCTAAAAGTTGTCCGATAGGTAACACTGCAAAATGATTAATTATACCTTCTCCGCGAATTAATATTTTGTGTACCGAAGATGGCATATAGTACCAATCATATTTACTGACGTATATTCTTGCTGTTTCCAAAGCATATTCCCCAAATGTTTAGGAGTCTAGCATTATGTCAGACGAAAAAGCTAGAAAGATTATACAGAGTCGCTTTATCAAAATTTCATCGACTCCTGTAATTTCAACTGAGCAGACTGCATTATACAAAAATCCTCGCAGTGTTACCGTCAGTGGTATTACCACCTCATTGCCGTGGTTTATCAATTATTAATCCAAGGTCTTCTCGAAAGCGTCTTTGTACCAACTTTTGTACAACTTTTTTATTAAAATTGTTTTTCTTTGTATCTGCAGGCCTCAATGCCTCCACGATTTTTGCTTCATTACTTTCCCTCTTTGATCGCAGCCCTTGAATATATGCACCATAGACGTGTTCGAATCCATAATCATTAAATAGTGTAGTATTTTTGCCCTTCTTACTAGATTCTGAAGAATTTTCATAAGACGTACATGGTCTTCCTCGTTTTCCAGTTGAAGTAGATGGAATGGACTCTTTATCCAACCAACTCTTGATCCAACCAATCACTGTTAGCCCTCAAAAAGGCTTCTTTCTTTCGCAATGCTTGGCTCCATCGACTGTTAACCTGTGTTAGCAATTCTTTTTTTAAATCACTAAATTATCAAACGTAAATTGTATTCCGAAAATTCATAACAATCTCGTAAAAATGTTTAGAGCCGATTCATTTCTTCCACCTTCAATGTAGGAAAGTATTAGTTCTCGTCTCAAACATTTGAAAGTAAACATTTTCAAAGGAGTTGGAAAAGTATATTCAGTAACAAACGACTGCTTGTTTTAATAAATTTATGAAATTAATGTGTCAGAGCATTATATAGTAATGGTCTTAGAATAATAACGCAATGGTGTAGTGTGAATAATATTGATAAATCGACTCCTCCTATGTAAAGTATCGTATGTCGAAATTGCCAAGTTTACAGGGGAGCGTTTTAAAGTTTTCAATTCACTGAAGTAAGCATAACACGTGACTTTATTTCTCAGTTTTATTTGGCAAAACTCACACAGAGTATTATAAAATCCTATATATCGGTTAGATGAACAACCACAATTAATTTTTATCATTTTACTATTTCATTTAGCATTTATATGCTAAAGTCACGTGTTATTACTCATTTCAGTGAATTCAAAACTTAAGGCTCCCCTGCAAACTTGGCAATTTCGACATACGATACTTTACGTAGGAAGAGTCGAAATATGATAAATGCAACCGCGCCTATATTATCTTATCGCGTTGCGTTGATAAGGGTATTTTTATGGGGTAGGACATTTGATACGATTTCTTTCATATCTTTAGAAACCGCAAAAAACCGAATTTTGATAATTAATACCCACGCTATGAAATAATACAAAATTCGAAGCTTCGGCAAGCTTCGCTAACAGTCAAAACCTTTGATGAATTTGATAAAGATATGTTAATGTCTCCAATTTTAATTATGATTTATTTTCTTTACACTACACAACAAATTTGAAAAATATCAACTATTTTTGACATTTACGTAAGATAGATTTATAGAAATATACAATAACATATAGCTTATGTAACAAAATTAAGACGAAATACGACGTTGAAAGTTCCAAAATTATACGGCACAACGATATGAGTACGGGAAATGACATTTTGGATGTATTTTTATTAAATCAACATACCTATCTAACATAAAAAACCTTCAATATAATAAAGTATGACATCTAAACTATCAAATAAAATTAAATGTGTATTTCAATTAAGACATTGGTCAAAACCATTTTTGATACGCCGTTGTTCTACTATTTCCCATAGTGCGTCGGTTCGAATCCGGCCGGATCGAAATAATTTTTTGTGAGAGTTCGATCTTTGTATTATTAGCGAGGACTATTGAATCTAATTTTTAAAAAAGAAATTACAAAACGCTAAAAGTAAAGATTTATTGAAATAATTAAGAAATTAACAAAGTAACGAGAGAAGCTAAATGATCGTGAGTTCGACGGCAAAGAAATGGGCGCGCGCTGCCGGCGTAGCGAGCTTAAATAAAACTGCCCTCTCCGTTCGCTCCATCGAGTGGCGTGATGTTGCAGGCCACGCCCACTAGACTAGGATTTTCTCCTAATACGGCCTCTCCTGACGTGTGGCCGTCCTCGGTCACATCTTCAGCTGATGAAACTCCTCTGGATGGACCGGGACATAGTTCAAAGTCTGACTCCGGGCGACCCGTAGTTGACGGTCGTGAGTCGCTCATGTTTGATGGTGCTGAGCGGCCCTCGCTGAGTGGTTCGGGCTCCTCATTGGACACTGGAATGTGAAAAATGTTATTTTAATTCTCACATAAATATATCTCGAAATCTTATGGTTCGGCCTTCTTCATAGCATAAGTGACAGAGGCACCCAGTCAGCATGTCTTGACAGAGGCACCCAGTTGGCATGTCAGTTGGCGCAAATACCTCAATAGGTATTACAGCAAAACATTAATCGACCGAGGCGCCCAGTTCGCGTGTCATGACAGAGGCGCCCAGTTTGCACGTCAATTGGCAGAGCATAGCAATACCTATACATGAACCCAATACGATAATGTTTAGTAATCAGTTTTACTTACTTTCAAAAAATGAGGTACATGTATCAGGGGTCCATTCCCCTCGCCAGGCTACCATGTGCTCTGCCGCTGCCTGTGATTTCTTGCCATAGGAGCCACCCATCAGCCGAAGCTCGTAGCGACCGTGAGGCAACACATTTATCACACGGTACGGCCCGCGCATCCCCGAGTCTAGTTTACCTGTCATCTGCATGGACTTACTTACAAAAACCATATCGTTCAATTTAAAGACACGAGTGACAAACACAGAGATAACCTGCACGCAAAGGTTCGAAAAACTCCAAATGACAAAATGCTTGCACAGATCTACACTCGTTACAAAAACTTTCACAACAATTTATTAAGAAATCTTAGAAGGCAACATGAGTCGATGGTGCTAGAACAAAATAAAGACAATCCCAAGAAACTTTGGGACTCTATTAGAACCTTTACTCATACAAAGAGGCAAAACCATACTGCAGTCGAGCTAACGAAGACCAAAGATAGTACAATTGATTCACTGAATTACTGTAACGAGTTCTTCTCTAGTGTAGGAAAGCGTCTTGCTGACGGGATCCTGGCCTTCTCAAAGGAGACGCAGGAATCCCTTGCAGCCGGAGTGAGAGTCAGGGTTTCGCCACTTGATTCCTTTTTTATGCTGCCAACGGATGAGGTCGAGATAGAGTCAATAATTAACGGTATGAAAATTGATGGCGCCCCGGGTCTGGATGGTATCTCTAACCGATTTTTAAGGATCACCAAAAATAATCTTCTTGTACCACTCACCTATATCTGTAATCTTAGCCTAAAAGAAGGAATGTTTCCCTCCCAGTGGAAGTCCGCAGCCGTGATCCCTATCTATAAAGCTGGAAATAAACGTGACCCCAGTAATTACAGACCAATTTCGCTACTGAGCTGCTTTTCCAAGATTCTGGAAAAGGTGGTAAACAGGCGTCTTGTTGATTTTCTGGAGGAAAAGAATTTAATATCCGACCGGCAGTTTGGTTTTAGACGCGGGAGATCAACACAAGACGCGGTGTCTTTACTCACCAACATAATATCAGATCATCTGGACAACAAAAAGGCTTGTATAGGGGTCTTTCTCGATCTGGCGAAAGCCTTTGACACCGTTTCTATTCCCATTCTCGTTCGGAAGTTGGAATCTGTTGGTATTCGTGGTGTCGCGCTCGATTGGTTTCAAAGCTACCTTACAGGTCGGTCTCAATGCATTAAAGTTGTAGATGAATTAAGCAATCCCATGCCCATTGAGTTTGGGGTACCTAAAGGCAGCGTGCTGGGCCCTACACTTTTTACTGTGTACATAAATGATATTATGCACTCAGTCTCAGATCATTCCGATATCATCTGCTATGCAGATGATACTGCCATCATCTTCAATGGTTATAACTGGTCTAATGTATACGAACTAGTCGAGTGCGGCATGTCGAGGGTGGCTGCCTGGCTTCGGAATAATCTCTTGACGCTAAACCTGACAAAAACCCATTTATTATGTTTTCATAAAACCTGTGCATCTGCTCCCTCAAACTTTCCTGAGATTCCGGTTCATTTCTGTGACTCTGTCGGCCGAGTATCTTGCAAATGTCAAACCATCAGCCGCGCCGTAAACTTAAAACATCTTGGCGTGATTATAGATGAAAGACTCACTTTTGGGGACCACCTGGTTGCTACTGCCAAAAGAGTCCGTAAATTAATATTTCTCTTTAGGAGCCTCCGAGCGGTGGCCGATTTGAGATTGCTGGAAATAACCTATAAAGCTCTTTGCGAGTCAATTATTAGCTACTGTATCACTGTTTGGGGTGGCGCTGGTAAACTGAATATGCTGATAGTTGAGAGAGCGCAGCGATCCGTTCTGAAAGTGATGCTCAAAAGGCCTATCAAATATCCAACTGTCACTTTGTATAAGGAATGTGGAGTCTTAACGGTTCGTGGTCTATTTCTGCTCGGTGTAGTGATCCTTGTACATCGTGCGGTGGTCTCTTCTCCTGATTATACCAAACTCGACAAAAGAATTTTCAAATTACATCTCCCGGTTATTAATTCCGCCTTCGCTAGGAGATTCGCAAGATTCTTGCACCCATACGTCTACAATAAGGTTAACGCACTGTGTTGTGTCAAGCTCTGTTCTATATCAGAGCTTAAACGTAAGGTCAGTGAGTTTCTGGGCTCTTTGACCTACTGTCAATTAGAAGATATTTTAAAATAGGTACGCTAGTGTTGCTGACTGTTTGGTGGCAAGACCTCAGTAGTCTGACACTCCGAATTTATGGAGCCAGACAAGGCGGTTCACTTCAGCTTCTTCTTTCATTCCTATACACATACACTCACACACACACTTACACACACACACAAAATATCTTGCATTCTTTTAAAATATATGTAAATCTGTAATATTGTTTATCTTTGATTTCGTATGTATAATTTAAGTTAATTCATCATTCCTAAATTTAGTTTTGGTATTGTCCTTCTCTATCGCGCTATTATTTGTACTAGCAACAAGGATATATTGATTACCTGTGAGACAGGCCTAGCCTAGTGCAGGAATCATTACGCAATTCTCTCTGCTTGCGATTTACGCTACAAT